CAACAACAAAACAACAACAACAACAACAACAACAACAACAACAACAACAACAACAACAACAACAACAACAACAACAACAACAACAACAACAACAACAACAACAACAACAACAACAACAACAACAACAACAACAACAACAACAACAACAACAACAAACAACACACAACCACAACCACAACCACAACCAACAACAACACAACGACAACACAACCACAACAACAACAACAACAACAACAACAACAACAACAACAACAACAACAACAACCACAACACAACGACAACAACAACAACAACAACAACAACGACAACGACAACGACAACGACAACGACAACAACGCCAACAACAACAACAACAACAACAACAACAACAACAACAACAACAGCAACAGCAACGATGGCAACGGCAACGACAACAAGGGAAAAAACAAACGACAGCAACAACGACAACGACAACAACCACCACCACCACAGCAACAACAGCAACAACAACAACAACAACAACAACAACAACAACACCAGCAGCAGCAGCAGCAGCAGCAGCAGCAGCAGCAGCAACAGCAACAGCAACAGCAACAGCAACAGCAACAGCAACATCAACAGCACCAGCAGCAACAACAACAACAACACCAACAACAGCAACAGCAACAGCAACATCAACAGCAACAGCCACAACGAACAACGCACGACGACGACGACGACGATGACGACGACGACAACGACAACAGCAACAACAACCACAACCACCACCACCACCACCACCACCACTACCAACAACAGCGACAACAACCACAACCACAACCATAACCACAACCACAACCACAACCACAACAACAACAACCGCAACAACCACAACCGCAACCGCAACGGCAACCACAACCACAACCACAACAACAATCACAACCACAACAACCACAACCACAACGCAACCGCAACCACAACCACGACAACCACCGTGACCAGAACCACATTCACGACGTTGGCGACGCGACCTCGGCCTTGACGACGACGACAGCATCAACATCAACAAACGCAACAACAGCACCAGCAACAACAGCATGCATTCTACAAGCAATGGTTGATGTACGATTGTTGTCTTGAGCTTCGTCAGCAGTTTCTTTTTCCAACAGCTAGGTACCCTTCCCGGGTGCATGGTTGAAAGGGCAGCACTGGCGGCACCAGTCATTTCACGATTTTCAGAGAGTTGCTAGTTTTGAGCACATATGCAGGCCCTCCGCTCTGCAGGTCATCCGTCCAGTGCGCCTCTCGTACCCATGGCCACCGCCCGCAGCCCCGTGACCGGGAGCCAAAGCGAGAAAGGAAAGGGGCAGTCAATGCTCCTCCCACGATGGAGTCAGCACTTAAATGGAAAATATCAAAGCCATTTAAGAAGCGCATTTGTGTTATGGAGCTAACTATCTATTTGTTGTAATGGCTCTTTCCGTGGTTGCTGTTGTCATAGTTGTTGTATCAAACCAACGACCATCCCTGGGCAGTTCGGGCTTGCTGGCATCACTTGCATTGCTTGCAAAAAGACTGAGAGACGCAGTGCATGGTATCCATGTCGGCACAATTGCCCAGCTTCCCAGATCCACCAGGATGCATGAGCAAGCAGTGCGCGGGCCATGCTTCCACTACTCCCATTACAATGATTTTCCCTTCACGGTGTGCTTCGACCGGGGCCCCTGCCTGAATTAGACTTAGCGCGCGGAGCGAGGAGAGAAAAATCTGGCTGAGTTTTGAAGCTGTCGCGTAGGAAGCGACGCGTAGGAATCTCAAAAGGCACGTCCCTCCAGTTCCGGAGGATCAAAAGGTACCACGAGATATGATATGAGCGTGGGCCAGGCACGAACGGCTTGAGGCAACGGAAGGTGCAAACGGGCGGCTGCCACACTTTACGGCTTGAAGGGTCACTTCTGGGAATTCGAAACGCGTTCTAACAAGCGGATGCCAGCTAGCACCAAAGGACACTGTGTGTTGCATGCGATTGAATTTAATGATTTGTTAGAACCCATTCCAGAACGAAGTCCCACTTGGGGCTGCCTCTCGCGCTGCAGCTGTATTTCAGCACTTGTTCTCATGAATTTGCAGTAAGACACTATAAGGCTGTAAGGGTGAGAATGTATATATGGTTGCCAGTGGGGGGTCTGCAAGGTCTTTGTTTAATTCATGTTGACACGCCCATTCTGTTTTGGGTGTGTGTGTGTGGCCCATTGTGAAAGCCTCTAGTAGTCTATGCATCCCTACGCCGTTACGCCAATCCATTTCTCCACAGCAGTGTTCAGTGAAGTGCGATCCGTTGAGACCAGTCCACTTCAAATCCGCATGGGAATTGTCTTTGCCAGGTGGCTTTTGGCAGGTGCATGTTTGCCGCATGTTCTCTTCAAGCTAGTGCTGAATTTTCTTGCACGCTCTTCCGTGCAGTAAGGCAGGAGTCGGCTGCTTTCCAGCGCTAGTCTTTTGTCTTTCTGAACCCCAACTGAAATTGGGGAACGCCTGCAGTTGACCAATCACGGTTACCCAGGTCGCGAGCATCTCTACTTGCATTGCAAACGGTTGATGATCAATCGCATGAGCCGTTGCACGGTGGGAACGTTACATTGAGTTTTTGTCAAGCAGTGTTCCTTTCGCTTCCAATAGTCGGTGTTGCAGGGTCAGCAAGCAGATATCGAAAGTGGTTTGTGCAAATCGTAAAGCCAACGCCATTGGCTTATTTGGCTTCACAGGCTTAAGGGTGTCTTCGTTGTCAATGACACGATTAATATGTCTAGAGTTGCCCCGTGCATCTGATGAACTTGGAAAGGATTGGACACTGCTCCTGTAAATATGTACTGTTTGCTTTGGATGATTGCCCAGACAATTCTGTTCAGAATGTTGATTGAAAGCAGCATGGATGAGCTTCTTCCTTTGATTTGCTCCCTGGCAATACTTTCTTTGGTTTTGGATGGGTCACCAATTTTGGCACCAACAGAAAACCGACATGTTAGCGGGTCCAAATCCCCTATGTTTACACATACGCGCACACACAAACGCATGCACGCAGGCACATTGGGTGAATCCCGGACTTCCAGCTTTGGGGGCACGCCTTGCTAGGAACTCATGGCAGAAGGTGCTCTCCGACAAGGCTGTTCCTTGGTGTAACGGAATCGCCTTTCACAGGGTCTTGTTCCACGAACCTACAACGTTGCCGAGTAAAGAGGTTTAAACTGGATAAGTTTTGCTTTCACATAGACAACGGTGATGCGGCGCAGTGTAGACATACTATCGCACTTTCTGTCACTTTGAGTAGATTAACATCAGCCACAGCTAACTCGCCAGCGCCCTTTCCCACGCAAAGTCTTGAGGTGCCTGGCAATTGACAGGTAGGCAAACATGGTGAACAGAAGGCATGTCGTCCACCAAGAGTACAGAAGGTCGTTGTGAGCGTAGAGGGCCGCTTGAAGTCGGTTCAGGTCAGACAGCCCCATTGTTCCCCAGTGGCTTTACCAAAGTGCAACGCGTTGAGCACCCATGAGTGTTGGTCAGAGCGTTTATGCCTGCCTCCCACGAATACGTTGTTGCTGATCGCGATCGTGTATGCCGAGAGCAGTTTCCTTTGCCCGCTTGACATACGGGGATGCTGCGGGTTCTCAGAAGCAGTGAGAACTGACCTCAAGATCTGATTGGCAGATTGGTGCTTGGCTGGAGCCTTTCAGGATTTACAAAGCTCGGCTTAACCCGGCTGCGACATGCAGTGACGGAAAGCAGCCACAGAGGGGCATTATGTTCTGAAAGGAGACTCCAATCCAACCAGGACCTTTCGAAGGGCGGATGCAATATCTATGTGTCAAATCGAGGTAAAAAAAAAATCCTAGAAAACAGGAACACCCAGTCCTACTTAAGCGTATGCGCGGATGCAACGGTTTGTCCTTTGTAGGGGGCCCTCAAAATGGGGTCGGTTTCCTTTTTGGTTTCCCTGTAGAACCACCCCAAAAGGGTTTCCTCAAAAAAGCCAGAACAGGCACCCTCCAAAAAGACACATGTGCCCACGCAAAGTCTCGCGGAACCCATGCATGTCGGCCAAGGCTCGGATGATCAGCCTGCTGACCCAAGCACCAGAAAACTGCATGGCGCCACTTGCACGTGATCAGCGTTCAATATGAAGTCCTTGCTGTGATTTTCAGGATTGTGGATCGACAATTACGAATTATGGGCAGTTATTATGCTACGCAGGCAACATGGCGAATGTCTTATAACAGCCCGCGTGACCTTAGAACCCTCCACCAGACCCTATAGCGCCCCACCACCTGATGTCACATGATTCGCTCCGTCGGAGATGCGTGCAATCACCAAAGATGCGTATCTAAGATCTCACCTTAGGCTTGTTTTTCAAGGACAATTCCTATCTTTCCTGAAAGACGCACAAGCCCGGTAATTAAACTAAGCTTCATAATTCGGATGCTTGTTGAAGGACCCTCCAAAAAGCAGTGCTGGGAGGAAGCAGGTAGAACTGCATGTCCACCGTGGATGCCCTAGTCACAGAAGCTGTGTCAAATGCGCAATTCGCACTTTGGGGCAGCGCATCTTGCTGCTCAGAGCCCACCCAATTGCCGAGTGGGAGACATGAGTGGCAGGCAACCCGTAGACTTGGAATGCGTGTGTGGTTTTGGCCGAGATTAGCAAAGGTTTGCTATTTGACCCGTTTTTGTTTGGCCCCAAGAACAGGGCGTTTAAAAGCATAGAAGCCCTTTCGGAACGCCCCTTTAGGTCAATCTCTGCACGATGTGCTTGCGGGGGGCATGTGACACATTGAGTCAAAAGATGGAAGGTGTAGATGGCGGCTGCACCTTGGAAGGGTCAACATGAAATACAGAAGCCAACGCACCTTTGAGTCCTCAAGCTATTCCTCGAAACGAGCGTTTCGTTGAACTGCGGTCCAGTCAGAGATCCGGAAACCAGTCCAGCTCAAAACATAACTTGGATTCGCTTTGCAAGGCGGAGTTTGGCATGTGTTTGCCGCATTGTCTCAAGAGCTAGTGATGATTCTGCTTCATTGAAGCTGCGCATGCGCGTTCCCGCGCTGCAAGGCAGGAGTCGGTCGACTTCCAGCGCTACACTTTTGCTCCTTTGAGGGTATGTGTAAAGCCAAACTCCTTTTTATTAGACTGGTCTTGTCAGCGCACATCAAGCGACGTGAATTGGTTTAGTTGCCCCGTGGCACCGTGTCCATTTGCTTTCGGTGATTTGTTTGTTTAGCATGCAATTCACTGGGCGTAAAATTTGGAGTATAAAGAAGCAATGATTCCGACACAAGTCCAACATGATGGATGATATACGCTGGCTCGCTTCATTTGTTTTTTTGAGCGTGGTAGGGACAAGTCCTTTCCTACCCATCGTGCAAGGACGTCCCTGGTTCCATCACTTCCCAAGCGCCAGGGACTATGGCTGTGTCCACGAGGACAATGCTGCTGTCCGCAGCTTGGCCCTAACTGGTTTTCCTGTTACTTATGACGACAGACCCCGAGTGTGGCCTTTTGGGTTGTGTTTGAGTCTTTTTCCTTTGGAGTGCCGCGGAGATTGTACAGCTCCACGGTTGACAGCTAGCTGAACAGAGAACACATGGACGAACACCCTCGACGAATATGTCATGCAGCCTACGCATTCCCAGATGACAAAGAGCAGAGCAAGTTCGGAATGCCGTGACACCCAAAGCTTGTCTTTGGCGTCACAGCTCCAGCGGCAACAACCGTGTAGGTAAACCAAGCATACGTGCACAATGTGAGCATCAACAAGCCTATTTTGTGGCACTTGTGATACGCTTGGATTGGTCTAGTATGGGCAAATCAACCTGCACGCAGGGGTTTTACCCCCCCCACCTGATGTGAAGCATACGGCCACAGAACTTTGACATTGGATTCTTTCTTTTTTTTATCGGTTCCTATGAAGCACAGAGGTAGTTTCCGCAGAGGCACCTTGAACCCCTTGCGTTCACAGGAAATCCCACCTGCTTTGGCAAACTCTTAATGCCAATCACAACAGTGGCTGGTCTTTGTGCTGAGAGCGTGTTTAGCAATAAGTTATTGCTACCAGACCACTTTCCTTGCATCAGTTTGGGAACTAGGAAGCCGGACGTTTTGTGATTTGCCTGGCTTGATTGCCCAGGAATTTATTGGCACGTATATTTTGGCCCGAACCTCGGATGATGCGAAGCTGGCTGCGTGCAGTCAGCTGTTTTGTGTTGGCACTGACACCTGTAATGTCAGTGAGAGGTACGGGGTGGTGTCAAGCAGGCACGTTGCCGTGGCAAGTCTTGGAATGTCCAATCATTTGGAGGTGCATCAAAAGGTCCTCTACATCGGGACGATCATTGAGGGAAGCCATAAAAAAGTGATATTTTCCACATGAAAAAAGTTACCCATGGTCATTTGGGGGCCGAAGGGAATATTGATCAGCCCCAAGACTTCTGCGAAGTACAAGAGAAGAAGGCATGTTGACCAGTGCTTCGCTGACTTCCTGCCCGGGAGCAAGGGTGGTTGTCAGGGTTGCCTGCACTTCTTTCGTCATCCTGGGGTGATTTGCTTTTTGCCAGGCAGTTTATTTGCCGCCAGCGCAACTTGGGAGAGGTACCCTGTTTCGGCAAATGTTAAATGATGCTGAGAGGGGGTCCCCTTTTTTTGTCCTCTTTTCAAGTCAGGGGTGATGTTTTAAGGGAAATATAAAGAACCCTGCAACTGCTCTGCCCCTATCGTTGAAGCAGCCGTTCGCCTCCCCAAGTGATATAGTGTTCATACCGAAAAGGCGCACCATTGGTTAGCAATAGTCACAACTCCTTATATGACCAATGCTTATGGTTCACATCAATACATGTTTGGGGAGCCTACAGTCGCTGGAGGAGCGGACTGGGGCAACAAATTTGAGACTCAACCGTTTGGATGTGAGCATTGATCACCGACGGATTGAGCTTTGCAGAAATGACAGCTTCAGAAGGATCCTTATTACCGTGTGGATGACCATCCTTGGTAACCACAAGTGAAAGAACCGATCTCTTGACCATTTCTCACATATCGAACTTAAGTCGCCTTCATTGGTCGAGGTCTTAACCTTCGGCTGCAATGTCCTCAGTCTTCAGTACGACTTCGCCGGGGTGAGATCCTGAGAGAGAGGAGCCCGAGAGGTCTAAGTACTAGCCTGCGTGGAAGGTGCTTGGACTTTTTGGGAGGTTGAGGCAGACTGTGGCGCATTGGGTTTTTCACTCCCTGATTTTGGGACACCCCCAAAAATGGCTGAAAGGGCAGCGAGAAGTCGTTCATGGCCGTGGCGGCCGCATGCAGTTTGCTAGAGGTTGCTGATCTGATGCCAAGGTTGCCATTGCTTTCACCCTCATGGTGCTCCTCTATTCCCTTGGAGGGGCGCATGCCTCAGATTTGAGCACTTGCCCCCAGCCTAAGATGGCAACTATGGTTGATAGCAAGCTCTGCTGACCTAGGTGTGTTTAAGCCTTTGGTACATGGAAAGCAAGCACTTCGACTTTTTCTCATACAAGGTGTACCTAAACTCACATCCAGATCCCAGGTCATCAGATCCGGGCGCTGGAGACTATTAGAAGGGGTCCGGGGATCGCGCGAGGTGTCCGGCGCCTTGTTCAATCCAGCGGCGACCTTCGCGCTGGGCCTCTGCCGGGCCATGGGCGGCCCTGGCCTTGACTGGAGGATAGCGCCAGATACAGCGGTCGGCTCCAAGAGCGTTGCCTCGTCGTTTCCAAACATGTTCTGTATGTTGCGTGCAACATACGAAACATCATCTGAAAGTCCTATATTCTTGTATACCCAGTGGTTGGGCATGTTTGCGAGCGTCCTTCAAGTCAGAGACACACATCGGGTGCTCGGTGGATCGATATCCGGTAGTGGTGAGAAAGAGAGTTGTCCTACCTAAGCCATGCTTAGCAATCCTGGTATGTGGGGGGAGGCCGAAACAGCTCGGGCCTTGTCCGGGCAAGGTTGTAGCCTCAATTCCCCCCCTTGTCATCTTCCACAAGAGCAGCGCCAGACACAGTCTTTGCTGGCAAGGGGTCACACAGATGTTTGCCTTGCCGCATCCGGATTCAAGCTGGTCGAGCAGTGCTACAGGTTCAGGCCGAGCGACCAGCGGAACGCATCAAAACGCTTTTAGCCCAACTGCGTCCATGGTCTTACGAATCTGGAATCCACGGGTGTTGGCGTCAAAGTTTGCAAGTCGTTTTGCGTGAGAAGTGGGACGTAGAGCCTGTGCTGCTTGTGGGTTGGCTCAAGCCGATTGGTGTTGATTCTGGCATCCAGCGGCGAATTGATATGCTTCCAACGACGGACTGACCGACTGACCGACTGACCGACCGACTGACTGACTGACTGACTGACTGACTGAGACTGACCGGCTGACTGACTCACTCATTGGGTTACTGACTGGCTCACCGACCGACCGACTGATGTCTGTCTGTCTGCCTGCCTGGCTGGCTGGCTGGCTGGCTGGCTGGCTGGCTGACAGACCCATTTATTCGTCACTTTAGCGATAGCTGTCCTATTCCCAAGCGGCTGACCAACCGACTGATTGACCAACAAACCAACCAATGGCCAGTGCCTGTACAACCACAAGCGGCAAGGTCTCACGGTGTTTCTTGTAGGACAGTTGCCAGCTACACCGTCGTGCAGTTCTTGGCTGGACTACTGGGTGCTGCTGCTCGGTCGATATGTGCATTTGACTTGGCAGCCTCCTCACACGCTTTGTTACCTGTGGTCATCCTGTGCTGACAAAGAGCACCCTCTCCACGTTGCCGTAGAACCTGACTGAGGGTCATGGAAGACCGTTTTCTTCCAAAAGGTACCATTTCTCTGGTGATTTTCATGTCAGCGCACAGGTATGCCACCAAGCTCCGAATGACTTGCGAAACTGAGAATGAGAACCCGGGATAAAGCAACCAGTGGTTGTTTCTTGGGGGGGGGTGTCCCATATTAAGCGGGAACCTTCATGTTTTGAGGTACCCCTTAGATAGGTTACCGGTTTGTTTACTCCGGTGTCGATACTACGGAGGAAAGGACCCTACCAGTACTAATGTGAACGCACCAGTGTAGCCTCACGATATTGCTAAGTGCTGTTTGGGACACGGCCTCCGGTTGCGGTTTCCTCGGGCGTGCGCCGTAGCTACCTGTCTACTGGTTTTGATTTGTTGTTCCTGTCCCACAAATTTACCTATGCACGGCACCTAACTGGAGATCCCTTCATGTGAAAATGATCTTCCAGGTGCCGCACAAGTGCCATGCCCGTGGGTGCACATGTACGGGGTGGTATTCTTCTGGACAGATGCCAATGACTTGCATGCCTCGCCCAGGTTAGCTACACTTTGCTTTACGGTGGCCATGCTGCACATGGGCTTTGGGCGAGGGGCAACGTATGGGGATGGTCACCACCCCTTGGCACAGAATCTTCCTGTTATGCTTAAGAGTGCAGTTTCATTCGTGCAGTCTTCGAGGATTGAACTCCAAAAGCTTTGAGCGCAAGGATGTGCAGCTTGTAGCTAGTAGCCCAGTGACTGACTGTAGAAATGTGTGTGTGTGTTGTTTGCACGGTTCTACTGTTGATTAATCAATCTATGGAGGTTTCCCTGGGCTTACCGCTCAGGGCAAAGACGGCGGTTGAATCATGCCATGGCAAACACGCCTGAGAGCAGATGTCTCGCTAGGCAAGTCCTTCAACTTGGAGCCAGCAGAAGGCAGGGTTTCGACCACCACTCAAGATGGGTGTGTCCGATGGCGGCAGTGTCAATTTCAAGGGGATTCTTTTGGCTCAGAGCGTCAGTTTAACGAAAGGACAGCCACAATTCGGGTCCCTGTCCAAACCCCTAGAAAACATGGATTCTCTCTGGTTGTACAGAAAAGGGCCTCCTCACATGGGCATGGGTCGCCAGGTTTTGGCTGGCTGAATGCCGGGCTTTGCGAGATGTCCGAGCCTTTGAGCGGTGCCTAGGGATCACTTGTGAAGTCCTCGAGTGGATTGGGATTTCAAAACCCCCACGAGTTGTTTCCCGAAAAAGAACACCGACTGGAAGCTTGTCTTCCTGATAGCCGTTTTCGAGTGGTAAGGGGAGTGTTGTTGCGGATACCATGTTTATTTCTTTCTTTCTTTCCTTCCTTCCTTCCTTGTTTCTTTCCTTCACTATTTGTTTTCTTTCTTTCTTATTTTTTTGTTTGGGGGGGTTGAGCGGTGCGTAGCCGTGATCCTTGTCAACATGTTCAGTCCATGGTCAATCAAATAATTTGGCAAACAGGGAGGACGCCCCAATTCCGGCAACACTAAGCGGAATCGCTAGTTTCCTGCCCATTTCCGGGCAGGACAATATTGACCGTGATTCCCTTTGCGTATATGCCATCAGGTATTTGCACCCCAGCCAGTCGGCATCGGCTTGAACTCTTTCCCAGACCTACTTTTGGATGTGAACTGAGGTTGCAACATCACGGCATCTACTAGCCTTGGCTTAGAGATTGTGTGTGTGTGTGCAACCACATGAGCAAGCACATGCGACAATATCCTACGAAAAAAAAAAAAAAAAAAAAAAAAAAAGAAAAAAAAACATGTTGCAAACACCTTGACGTTCTTTCAACATGCTGAGAACACGTTGCCAAAAGCTGATCAGTACTTTGGACTGAGTGGGCGAGATGTCAGCAGGGTTTGCCTTTTCAGGGAGTGTTTGCAGCCCTAGCAACAAGCGGCTTGCAATCAAGAGATGGACATCATCAAATCCTGCCGTGCAAGAGTGTTCCTGGACCCTCAAACCTCCCTGAATAGGAGTTCATCCGGCAATTTAGCAAGAACGCTTCCCAACAAATACTTGGGTCCCCGGTTGGCTTCAGGTTGTACACCTTCATGCTGTGCTTCGTCACATTGAATGTTGTGGTCGCGCGGAAGAACCTACAAGAGAAGAACCAGTGCGCTGCCTCAAACCGTCAGCCAGCGTCAAGGCAGCCGGAAGCCAAGAAGTTGCAGAGGGCTTACAAGATACAACTCATTACAACTTGGCCATTTCAAACTGGACCACTGGACCCGTTCCTCCAGACTGAAAGGGAAACCATGATTTTGAGGTGGACAAGGTCAGGTCGATGATCATCCAACATACAAGAATCCCCGCTTGAAAACCAGAGTCAACTACATACTCAGAGGCTGGTGTTGTGTTGTCAGGAGGTGTCAAGCTTGATCAAGTTGTGGACAGGCACAGGTGGTGCTGGAGGGAGCTAATTGATGCATTAGCTGCAAGTTTGTTATAGCAAGCACATCGCTGTTCGGAGCGTTTGCACCAGCACGGGATGAACGCCCCAGCCATCTCAGAAGGAATTACCTCGTATTGGGGCCATCACCCCACGCGGCGGGTATTCCGTTTAGCATTGCTTTGACCATGGGGGCATTTTGATTGTTCCAATCAACCATGTTCATCATGCTAAAGCAGCATCGCTGTTGATTCTGAACCAGTGGATTCCCTACAAATAAGTCAATTTGCAACTTGTCGGGGACTGATTTCGTTTACTACCGCTGCCCTGCGTAAAACCGCAAGGCTGAATTGGTTCCTTCGTTGCATTGCAACTGGTGGCAAGAGTTGGCAATTCTTTGCCTCAGGTTCTGTTTGGGCAGCCCCAACAGGCCGGCCTCACTGTTCCCTATATGTGCCATAGTCAAAAGACCGGTTCCTTTGCTTGGGGTTTAGCGGAGATGATCATCGGACGTGATAGAAAGGATCCATTATGAATAACCATCATGATTCCCATTGACTGAACCATGAGCATGGGACAAAGAAGCGGAATTCTCACCATGGCGCGCTGTTGCCAACTCGCGCTTTTGATTTCGGCGCGTCGGCGAAAGGTCCATCGAGTTAGCCGCTTCGGCGTGTCGAGAGGTACTATGGCCTAGCCATCGGCCTGGTCCCGGCCGCTGGGCTCTACGGCGCCGGCGCCGTGTCAGGCCTCGGTTGGGAAAGCCACTGGGCTAGACGAGAAGTGGACCCGTGTCTTGAAAGAGACAACAAGGAACAAGAACTGTTTGGACATGGGATCCGTGATTTCACCAACAACAAAAAGGAGTGCAGTACCAACTGGTGGCGATTCTACAAATGATGGTTTTGGGGTTCCAGGTTAATCATGAGAGCATTTTATAAAGGAATTTGGACTTTTACCTCATTTTTTGTATTTGCGTCAATCAGGCTGATTCCATTACTCCCGCACAGTGCCAAGAAGAATCCTGCGTGAAATGGCCGTGCTGCCAGGGGGATGCTTCAATCCGGCCCTTGCCTTGGGCATCGACGCTTCTTCTATGGGTGCTGGCTTCGGATGGTGTGGCCGGCCTTCCTTGGCGAGCAGTTTCGTGGGTTCCTGCCTGTTCGTTTGTGTGTGTGTGTGCGCGTGTTCAGGGTACCTCTGGGTTGAACGCGGGCCGCCCATTTTGGAGCTTCCACGACTATTTTGAGACCATCCCATGTGTTTGTGTGTGTGTGCTTGCTCCCCCACTCGTTGTCCACCAACCTTTGAGCGGCTTGCTGGACCAGAGCGCTTAGGTGCAGCCAAATCAAAGGACCTCTAACGCGCCAAGCAGCAGAGGTGACTTATCCTCTAAAGCCTCAAGCAGTTGGTCACACGGGGCGAAGTGCCAACTGGGCCGGACAAAGGCAAACTGAGGTTCCTTTGACCTCAGCGCCTGACCCCATTGTTCCTTTGCTTCAATTTCCCTCCAGTGGTTTCCCATCCCTCTGCAGGAACAAAAAATCAATTCCCCAGACCACCAACCAGATCAATCCGCTTGGGGTAAGCGGTTTCCGCCAAAACCAAACCGCCAGCACCGCGAAAGCGGCCAGGTCCGCGGTGTTTGTCCTCTTCGAGCTGCTGGGCGCGGCAGCGGCGTGCTTCGCCTTCGCCAAAGTCCGCCCCGAGGACTTCCGGAGCTCAGCCGAAGCCTCGAGACGCCTCGATCGATTTCGAGTTGGGATGCCCCGAAAGTCGATCAGAACTTTTGAGAAGGTGCTCACTCAGAACCTTCCCAGGGGAAAACGGGAGGGGGGCGCAGAGGACGGAGTGTGGAAACATGCGACTTCAGATGTCGCTAGAAGCGCTTCAAATGCAAATGACTTGTTTGAGCTCTTCAACAAAGACGGTATTTCGACCCCAAATCGGCCGAAAGCGATCAACTGCCAGGTGGACGCCTTGAAAGCTCTACGGGAAGGTACTGTAGTTTCCACGACAGCTATGGGGATCCATCAATTGGTTTGCCGCGGTTCCTGGAGGGTGGGGTTCCGGGACGCTTGGGGGCTTCAGTGGCGCCTGTGTTCTTTTTTTTTGGGGGGAAAGGGCTCCCCTTTAAACTCAACCGCCCAACAAAAGGATGCCCTTTTTTCCCATGGAAATCCACTGGGCATCTGAGTAAGACATTTGGTTGGACTGATCCGACTCCGAGGCGCCGGGCTCCGCTTTCGTGGCCGAGCTGCTAGGGACCTGGCTGCTGGCGCGGGCCTCGGGCCCTCGCTCGAACATGAACGGTCCATATGCGAGTTGCATCGCAATTGAACAACACCAAATGCAAATTGGGGACCCGGCAGGTTGGGGCACAAAGTGATTGAACAGCCAGACCCAGCCCCTGTCTTGAATAGACTGCGGAGAGGTGGTGCGCCATCCGTGCCGTTGGCAGCCTGGCTTTCCTTTAGGAGCCTGCATACCAGATGTTCATGGAACAGCTCATGCCAGGTCATGTCAATAAGAGCCAACCCTAAGAGAGTCATTTTGCGGGGAGTTCCAAACCTGGCGGAGCTTGCTCGAATGCCATTGTGAAACGTACGGGCCCGCGTGTGTTCGTTTTGTTTGAGTGGTTCAGTGTCACCCAGACCTTACACAGTGCGGATGCATGCAACATGACTTCTTTTTCCTGACATACTGATCAGCCACGCGGTTGTCCGGCAGTGAGCGCCTTTCGTGTTTGTGGTTTCCTTTGAACAAGCGCAACATGTTCTCGTATGTACTAACTCAACGAAAGGAACAACACCCCAATAACGCAGATCTGTGCCGTGAGTGATGCCCTTGGAGGTATGCTTCCCACTAGCGACCAGAGCAATTGGCCCCTTCGAGAGTAAACATGGCCCAAGCCAGGAGCTGCCCTTCCGCCAGATTGCACGGCCGCGTGAGCGGGATACCAGAAACTTCCCTGTGGATGGACAACATCCTGCACCATGTGATATGCGTGGATTTTTTGGGAAGCCGTTTGAATTCTTTAGCTACCAACCGGCGCGAAGTGGACTTTGTCCATCCGCAGTAACACAAGAGCCTGACGAATCCCCAACATTACTTTCCCATGGTCATGATGCAGGCTTTGTCTGATACCCTAAGCCATTTTCCCATGACATACCCCAACCCCCCCCCATTCGAATTATTTTGCCCCCTCGATCCGATTCCTCGAAGGTGGCGACCGCGGGGCTGAACGTCTTGGCTGAGAGCTCCGCCGCTGCCTTCAGCGTGGCGGCGGCCCTCACGCGGGGACGCCCGGATGCGGCGGCCCGGTGGCTCGCTTGGATGCGGTAAAGGCCGTTTTGCAGGGGTCCTCGCGGAAATGGTGCTGAGTTGCAGCCAAAAGGGAAATCCACGCATTTTGTTGAGAGGTCCCACGTTTTGAGGAGAACCCAATAAGGGGCCAACAACAGGGGGTCCCCAAAAATCGACCAGGCTCCTTTTGTGAGACAACGAGAGTTTGAGTTTGGGACGGCTCAAGCCTCGGAGTTTAAGCATGCCACAATCTGTGACCCCAGGATTCCGGATTTTGGGCAGCCAAGTTCAGTCCCTGACCTGACCGCGGGTGTTGACCAGGGCTTGGACCTCAAATTCATTTCTGGTCACTTCTGCTGGCAAAGAACTGCCACTGAACTGCCTGGTGTGCATTCTGCCTGGTTCTTCCGAATATGGATTGGCCAACGGAGGCGTGTGGTTTGTTGATTTCGGATGCTTAATCTTGGCGCCATGCGGCCTCGGCTTGGATGCAGGTCTTTGGTTTACGCCCTCGCGGATGTCTCTGGAGCACACTTCAACCCAGCCCTGGGCTCAGCTTGTCAAGGCAGAGGCGAGGCTGCGCAACCCTTTTTTGTTTGTATGTTTGTTCAGAGTTGGATGTTCCAAATCTCGGAAATCAACTCCAAACTGTCCGCGTTAAGAATGAAATAGAATGAACATGGGGGGCTTCATCTTGCAGATCTTTATGGATTCATACTCTGCGGACTTTAAATTGGCTTCATTTGCAACATTGAGGGGATTTTTGCGCCAATCGGCATGTTCCGCATTCGACTGCCCACTCCCATCTCTTAATGCCGCGCAGCTCATTGTTCATCATTCAGACCCTCCCGCCACCAGAACCCACGAGAACCTGGCAAGGCCCTTCTGGAATAGGCCATTGGGCCAAACCAGGTGAGTGTTGCTAGAAAATGCTTGCTCGTTTCGGATTTCGCATGGCCAAATCCAAGTTGAGCTCACCCCTGGACTTTTCAGGTTTCTGATTCTGGATTTGGCAAAGGCCAGGGCTTGAGGATGTTGATGAGTCTTCCTCATTGCTGAAAAGAGGGTAAGGCCATAGGGAGATAGGGCTCCTTCGGAGCCCTGACCATTCGCAAAAAGAACTCGCAGGCGCTATTTGCCTGAGGCGGTCACGCTGGCGATTTTCGTGTCTGGCCGCGCTGACCTCACAACCAAGCAGGCCCAGGGGTGCAGCAGAAAACTATGTCCGAGCTGTTTTGTTCAGGATCAAGATATGAAGCATGAAGCAGGAAGCACAAGGGAATTGTGCAATCGCGTCAGCATGTCAGAATGGTTTGCCCGTTGAAGCTCGACGCTGATGCTTGTGTTGCGCATGGCAACGCGCCACTGCACATTCAAACCTTCCCAAGCGTTTCTCAGAACACGGATAATGATAGTTGGTCGAATGTTCATCAGCAAAGAAGGCATTTGCGTCCCATTGAGTACATCATTCATGTAGTGTCATACCAGAGACACAGATTACTTTATGTGGGTAAGTAAAGGGTATGAATGGTAGGAGAAAGTCCACATCGGGAGATTGTGCCATGTACGTTCACCCAAGTGTACTCGTACCATGTATTGTATCAGATTGTATCAGTTTTATCCGCTCGTTCAACTGTACAACACATTTTTCTGCCTGGCTCTGGTGCTGCAGGTGCCAGGGACAAATCGGCAGCTCACACAGCATGTACTGACACGCAAATTGGCAGCATCGGCTGTTGCGTACATACTATGTGCAGTATATATGTACAGCATTCATACACGTGTATATATATATATATATTATACCTGGCCTGGACCCTGCAACGATGTGTGTTTTCTCAGTCTCCCCTGAAAATTTGAGAAGCACCACGCGGCGTCCCTGAAAACATGACGCAAAAGCAGCAAAATGACAACGCGAAAGCAACTCAAAACAACGCCAAAGCTGTGTCATTTATTTGCTTTTTGGGTCTTTGCCTGCGTCTTTGGGGGGGGGCCAGGTATATGTATTATAATATACATATACAAAATGTATGTATATTTGTCACTTCTCCCTGTGTTGTTCCCGTGCTGTTTATTTGTGACTGTTTATGCGGCTTGCACGCATTCGCCCGTTGAAAACACCCTTAGCAAGGGGCATGTGTTGTGCCTGACCTGTTTGGAAGAACTCATCGTTTTCTACATGCAGTGACGGCATGATGTCAGGGTGTCAAGGCCCCCAACTGTTGGCCTCCTTTGGTTTGCAACGTAAACCCCCGGAGCATTCCTTGACTTTGGGTCGCTGATACGTCTACGACGCATGTCGGGCTCTGTTAGACCTGATTTCGTGGAGTTGGTCCCAACCTTACTTTTTGCGACCCGGCATTCACAGTACCTTCCTCCTTCCTTTCTTTTTGCATAGTTCATGGAAGTTTTAAGAAGACCTTCCTCAACTCATTGCGCCAGGCCGCGCAGCACGTGCTTGCGCAGATGCTAGGTGCTGCTCTGGGCTGTGTGACCTACTCGTCCCTTGCAAACATGGCTGTAAATCTTCACCAAAGAGAGGTTTCTCAAATTAACACTCCTGCGAAAATGGCTTAGTTCATGTGGCATCATCCGTTTTACTAACAAGGATGGCAGTATTCCAAACCCCTTCTGTCCACTTCCTTGAGGAGAGACAGCAAGAGGGTACATGCATGCCACCAGGCTACACTAAGCCAACCATACTCAGCTGCAAAACCATGGCACGTGACAGCCGAATCGGTGTTCTTATTGCCTTTACTTCTGGGTGCTGAAAAGCCCGTCACTTGTATTTTTAACCGACACCTGTAAAAAGGGGATGGGTATTTGTTGGTTTTTCCGGACCACGTGCTTAACCCCCGTCTTGCTTCCTGTTTTGGGCGTGGACGCTTCCTGAGTTGGAGCCGAGGCTCGTCTACGTGGGTGGAAGCTTTGCAGTGGGCCCCATTGGAAAGAGCACCTGGCCACAGGCAGGCCATGCGCTAGATCCTTGGGCTAGGATGGATCCTTATTATATGTGTACTAATCATGTATATATATATATATATTACATAGATGATGTTCATTTAAGGGTACCCGTGTTCAGGTTATTAAAAAGGGAAGCCACAAGCTTCAGCACCGTTGTTTTTGTTTGTTCTTGTTTTCAACGGGCTTGGGTTGTTCCCAATTTTGACGCATACCCAATATCATGGCTGTACATCACAACTATTTAGTGGCTGAAACATTCTCAGACATGTTGAGGGCATAAGCCGTTCAGTCAATTGATGTCCACCAATACCAAATGAAATTCAGTCATGGATGGATCGAAGTGTTCATGGTAGGTGACAAGCCTTGTGGAAGTGTAAGTAGAAAGACGATGCGGTCTCATGCTTTGTTACTTTGAAGTATGTATGGCCTGCATTCTATTGTATGATGGCCAGGTTGCGCGGGTGTCACATAGAGATGATGCTACGTCATTAATTATGTTTGTCTCGCAGTGTAGCGTGCTATGTTCCCGCATGTTGCCAGGCGCTGCAAGAAAACAGCTCGAGCAGTGCAGATGTTGATTTTCCAGTGCGAGGCTGTCACATTCCCTCCCCTTGGCAACTTGGTGACTGGTGACCTTTCACACTTTTTGAAGGAAGTCCAGAAACGCTTCCATTTGGGCATGTGTCAAAACACGGGGGACGCTATGGTGGTTTCTCATTTCGTTTCCCTTCTCTACCCCAAACTTCGGGCAGCCTCAACCAAAACCGCCATGTTGACAGGTGGTGATCGGCGAGCTGCTTTTCACCTTCCTCTTGGCCTACACTGTGCTGTGCGTTGTTTTCGCCAGCCGGACCAAGCCTTCAGCTCAGGATCGGTGAAGTTCAGCTGGTCCTGACAGGTTCAGTCAAATTTACAGATCTATAGTTCCTTTGGGGCACTTATGTTCCTAGGTGACATCTCCAACTGTGCGTGTGTGTGTGTGTTGTGTGTGTGTTTTGTTCTTTTTGGGGGTACCCGTTTGCTTTAAGATAGAAGCCAATGGAAAACCACCACTTCAGGCTTTAGTCTTGGATGAGTTTTTTAAAACTTGGGTCTGGTTTTCCTTTCGTGTGGTTCCCTGGCTGGTTGGTTGGTTTGCTGGTTGGTTGGTTGGTTGGTTGGCTGGTTGGCTGGCTGGCTGGCTGGCTGGCTGGCTGGCTGCCTGGCTGGCTGACTGGCTGGTCGGTTGGTTGGTTGGTTGATGTTTTTGTTGGTTGGTTGGTTGATGTTTTTGTTGGTTGGTTGGTTGATGTTTTGGTTAGTTGGTTGGTTGGTTGGTTGGTTGGTTGGTTGGTTGGTTGGTTGGTTGGTTGGTTTGCTGGTTGGTTGGTTGGTTGGTTGGTTGGTTGGTTGGTTGGTTGGCTGGCTGGCTGGCTGGCTGGCTGGCTGGCTGGCTGGCTGGCTGGCTGGCTGGCTGGCTGGTTGGTTGGTTGGTTGGTTGGTTGGTTGATGTTTTTGTTGGTATGTTGGTTGATGTTTTGGTTGGTTGGTTGGTTGGTTGGTTGGCTGGCTGGCTGGCTGGCTGGCTGGCTGGCTGGTCGGTTGGTTGGTTGGTTGGTTGATGTTTTTGTTGGTTGGTTGGTTGATGTTTTGGTTAGTTGGTTGGTTGGTTGGTTGGTTGGCTGGTTGGTTGGTTTGCTGGTTGGTTGGTTGGTTGGCTGGCTGGCTGGCTGGCTGGCTGGCTGGTCGGTTGGTTGGTTGGTTGGTTGGTTGGTTGGTTGATGTTTTTGTTGGTTGGTTGGTTGATGTTTTGGTTGGTTGGTTGGTTGGTTGGTTGGTTGGTTGGTTGGTTGGTTGGTTGGCCGCATCCGCAGTATCACCGGCCTCACTTGGAAGGGCTGCCTATTGGCTCTGATTTAGTGGCAGTTGTGTCATGTACTGAGGGGATGACATGGGGCACTCACCTTATCGCCCACAGGAAATGGGAGTTGCTCGCAGTCTAATTCCGGCACACAGTCAATCAATTGACTGTGGCTCACACAAAAATATCACGTGGAAGGGGCATGGGGAACTCACCAATTTTCCCAACAAGAACTAAGGCTCACTTATAGTTCACGTGATATCTCGAAACGTGCGTACGCGTGTCTGTGTGCGCACGCGTGTGTGTTTGTGTGGGTTTGTTTTGAGGGTAGCCTTTTAACATGGTTTGAAGGGCCAGCTAAAAGAAAAGCAACCGTTTTTGGGCGGTCCAGTTCTGACGCATACCCAAATCAACGGTGTCAACTGACTGCATGACACGTTTGCGGTTGAAAATCGAATTACCTGCCTCGTACACAAGAGACCTATATAAAGGTTTTAGACGCAAGCATATTTTCATGATGAGTTGCCTCTAGAAAATGAGGGGCGTTTACTACCCAGAATACATGCTTTGTCAACCATCCACGTGTTGTTGCTGGTGCCCTGGACACATAAGGTTACTTAGTGGTGCTTCGTCGAGGATCGTTCCGTCCATTGACTTTATTCAGTACCCCCAAAACAGCGCTCCACGTTGCAGCTTGTGCGCAAGTGGCCGAGACCTTTCCATGGCCAAGGACTTCCCGTGCGCAACCGGCAACAACACAAGAGATGGATAAGCAATGGGCAGCCAACAGCAACAGCGTGTTTAAAGCCCTTTGGGATGAGGAGCAGCGCATTTTTCCATTGTTTTGACCGTTCTTGGGAAGCTTACACTTCTTGGGGGTTCCAGCACAGAGTCAGCTCCACCAAAGCATCAATACTCAGAATTTTAGCTCCTTTCTTGAAGCCAATCAGAAATGTGTTTTGACCTGCAAACCGCTGATCGACTTCACATTCCTGCCAAACATGGAGCGCTTGCTACTGATGGCAGCAATGGCCGGCACAAGTCTAGGACAGTTGCTACTTGGCCTCAATGGTTGTGTAACCTTGGCGCATGTGAACGTCTTTGGGTGTGCGATTCCCTGTTTGCACTCTGTGTAAGTTACTAAAAGATACTGTCAGACTTGGGCGCCAAGGAATGACACCTGCAATGAGACCAACTTGACATGGCGAGCGCGGCCCTATGGCGAGAGGGGCCAAGGCAGCTCGGACCAGAGTCAATTGCGGATTAATCAACCTGTTGGATGAATAGTAGTGTTCCTTAAAATGGTCAAGGAGTCCCTCTAAAATGGGAAGCCCCTTATCAATCGACCTGTGGGACAAACACATCGCATGTGCAGTGCTTAGGCTTGTGAATTCCAGATATAAATACAAGTAAGGTCCGGCAGAGCCGGGGGGCGGAAGTTTCAAAGCAGTGAACAACTATAGTTTGGAGAACTGTCCTTGGCCCCTTGCTCTCTCTCTCTCTCTCTTTTTCTCTCTTTCTCTCTTTCTCTCTCTCTTTCTCTTTCTCTTTCTGTTTCTCTGTCTCTTTCTCTCTCTTTCTATCTATCTCTCTAGCTATCTCTATATCTGTTTATTGATCTATCTATCTACCCATCTTTCTCTGCACTTAAAAGTTGCGATGTTCAATCCCCGAAAGTTGACTTCGCGTACTACTTTCGTACTTAAAAGTTGCGATTTTCGAGCCCCAGCTGCGAAACTGGACTTCACGTACTACTTTCGTAGTTAAAAGTTGCGATTTTCGAGCCCCAGCTACGAAAGTGGACTTCGCGTACTACTTTCGTACTAAAAAGTCGCGATTTTCGAGCCCCAGCTGCGAAAGTGGACTTTGCGTACTACTTTCGTACTTAAAAGTTGCGATTTTCAAGCCCCGGCTGCGAAAGTGGACTTTGCGCACTACTTTCGTACTTAAAAGTTGCGATTTTCAAGCCCCAGCTGCGAAAGTTGACTTCGCGTACTACTTTCGTACTTAAAAGTTGCGATTTATCTATAGATCTACCTATCTATCTACCTCTCTATCTCCTATCTATCTATCTACCTCTCTATTTATTTATCTCTCTATCTCTTTATCTATCTAGCTAGTTATTTGTCTATCTATCTACAAATCTATCTATCTCTGTCTATCTCTGTTTCTCTATCTCTTTCTATCTATTTCTCTAGCTATCTCTATATCTGTTTATTGATCTATCTATCTACCCATCTTTCTCTGCACTTAAAAGTTGCGATGTTCAATCCCCGAAAGTTGACTTCGCGTACTACTTTCGTACTTAAAAGTTGCGATTTTCGAGCCCCAGCTGCGAAACTGGACTTCACGTACTACTTTCGTAGTTAAAAGTTGCGATTTTCGAGCCCCAGCTACGAAAGTGGACTTCGCGTACTACTTTCGTACTAAAAAGTCGCGATTTTCGAGCCCCAGCTGCGAAAGTGGACTTTGCGTACTACTTTCGTACTTAAAAGTTGCGATTTTCAAGCCCCGGCTGCGAAAGTGGACTTTGCGCACTACTTTCGTACTTAAAAGTTGCGATTTTCAAGCCCCAGCTGCGAAAGTTGACTTCGCGTACTACTTTCGTACTTAAAAGTTGCGATTTTCGAGCCCCGGCTGCGAAAGTTGACCTTGCAAAAATGCTGCGCCTGCCACCAAATCTGTGCTTGACCTTGCTAAAGTGCTGCGCCTGCCACAAAATCTGTACTTGACCTTGCGAAAGTGCTGCGCGTGCCACGAATTTTGCACTTGACCTTGCGAAAGTGCTGCACCTGCCACAAATTCTGTACTTGACCTTGCGAAAGTGATGCGCCTGCCACGAATTTTGTACTTGACCTTGCGAAAGTGCTGCGCCTGCCACGAAATCGATACTTGACCTTGCGAAAGTGCTGCGCCTGCCACGAAATCTATACTTGACCTTGCGAAAGTGCTGCGCCTGCCACGCAATTCAAACCTTGCGAAACCTTCGCGCGGCCGTGCCAATGGGCCCGTCTCCGAAGACCGTTCCGAACCGTTCCGAGACCGTTCCGAGACCGCCTCCGTACAGGCGTCGCAGCCGAGGTGGTTTGCGCACAGTCCGGAAGCCCAATTCACGCACAGCGCCAACGTTTTCTGCATCTTGCCATCCCCCAGCTCGCAGAGAGTGGACGCAGCACCTTGCGAAAGTGCTGCGCCTGCCACGAAATCGATACTTGACCTTGCGAAAGTGCTGCGCCTGCCACGAAATCTATACTTGACCTTGCGAAAGTGCTGCGCCTGCCACGAAATCTATACTTGACCTTGCGAAAGTGCTGCGCCTGCCACGCAATTCAAACCTTGCGAAACCTTCGCGCGGCCGTGCCAATGGGCCCGTCTCCGAAGACCGTTCCGAGACCGTTCCGAGACCGTTCCGAGACCGCCTCCGTACAGGCGTCGCAGCCGAGGTGGTTTGCGCACAGTCCGGAAGCCCAATTCACGCACAGCGCCAACGTTTTCTGCATCTTGCCATCCCCCAGCTCGCAGAGAGTGGACGCAGCACCTTGCGAAAGTGCTGCGCCTGCCACGAAATCGATACTTGACCTTGCGAAAGTGCTGCGCCTGCCACGAAATCTATACTTGACCTTGCGAAACTACCCGCCTCCGTACAGGCGTCGCAGCCGAGGTGGTTTGCGCACAGTCCGGAAGCCCAATTCACGCACAGCGCCAACGTTTTCTGCATCTTGCCATCCCCCAGCTCGCAGAGAGTGCTTGCGAAAGTGCTGCGCCTGCCACGAAATCGATACTTGACCTTGCGAAAGTGCTGCGAAAGTGCTGCGCCTGCCACGAAATCTACACTTGACCTTGCGAAAGTGCTGCGCCTGCCACGCAATTCAAACCTTGCGAAACCTTCGCGCGGCCGTGCCAATGGGCCCGTCTCCGAGACCGTTCCGAACCCGTTCCGCACCCGCCTCCGTACAGGCGTCGCAGCCGAGGTGGTTTGCGCACTGTCCGGAAGCCCAATTCACGCACAGCGCCAA